GCTGTGAGGCCAGAATGCCTCACCCGGTCCCATAACACCCAGGCAGCCCCACTTCTGTCTGGGGAGACTAACAGCCTCGCTCGGTGGGTTAGCACAGAACCACATCTGAACATCTTGGTCGAGCACCGAGACCAGCAACTGTCCACCTCGTTCCCTTGCCAGATCCACCATCCTGCAGGAGAGCAAGTCCCTGCTGAAGAGCCAGACCGTGTCGGACCAGGCAGTGGCAGAAGCCCTGTGTGCCATCATGCTCCTGGAGGACAGCTCTCCACGCCAGGCCCTCGCCGACTTCCTTCTGGCCCGGAAGCTGGCCGTTCAGCAGCTTCTCAACCAGCCACACCATGGTCAGTATGACCGGGCTGCCTCCTTGTTAAAGTCAGGGTAAACCCTTCACTTCATCTCCCTCTTGCCCCACAGAAAAGCGGGTAGGTTAGTTCCGTAAAGCTCACAGTGGTGGAGAGGCAACCACATTGTGCTACTGCAGTGGCGTGGCACAGAAATTTACAGTGCTCAAAGTCTTAAGCCAAGCCTATCTGTTATGGGGAAGCAGGTGGTTGCATGGGGCTGAGTCCTTTGCCCCCCCCAGCCCTTCCCTGGAAGGTTTCACTAGAACTGCAGGCCCTGAAACACAGGGCTGTCACACCTCTGTGAAGGGGCTGCCCCAGCTGAAAGGCATTTCTCTGCAGGTGCAGGTATAAAAGCTCAGGTGTGCTCACTGATGGAGCTGCTAACCACTACCCTGTACCAGGCTCATGCTCTCTTCTACACCATGCCAGAAGGGATGCCACCAGATCCAGCCCTGCCCTGCAGCTTGCTCTTCTCGACCCTGGAGAGCACCACAGGCCAGCCCCCAGCAGGTGAGTGCCCAGGCAGCTCTGTGTTACGCCTCTGCCTGCCCGCATTTGTGGGCAGGAGGCTGCCCCCGTGCTGGGCTGATGCCCTGACTGTGTGCTTCCAGGGAGAGGTGGGGTTCTGGAGGAGGAGGTGAAGCTGAGCAGCTGGTTCAGGTACCTCCCAGAGTCTGTGGTGGAGTTCCAGCCAGCCCTGCGGACCCTGGCACACCCTATCAGCCAGGACTACCTCAGAGACACGCTGCAGAAGTGGATCACCATGTGAGTGTGACAGCATCCCCCTTTGCAGGGCCCTCCCAGCTACCCCATGGTCCCTGCCAAGGCCACAGAACAAAGCAAACCCAAGCTCATTCCTTCCTCGCTCACTCCAGCCAGGCTGTGCCTTCTGCCGGCTTCTTGCCTGGCATCCCCTCTCCCCAGCAGTACAACAGCCAGAGGCAGCATAGCACTATCCTAACAGCCTGATGTAACACCACCACTGGGCTGCACAAAGATACTTGCCTAGAGTGGCTTTATGCTGCCACAACTGCCAGCAAAAAAGCACCAAAAAAAAACAGAGTGGTTTGCTGCTGCCACAACTGCCAGCAAATAAGCACACAAATAAACAAGAAGAAAATCCCTTACCTGCTTCACTTGGCCCTTGAGCCAGCACCTCCTTTCTCCTCACGGCCCTTCCCTGGACTGGGGGCAGTCAGACCCCTTTATAGAGCTGCCAGCTCCACCCCGCCCCACCACACCTTGCCCTGTGGGTGGGAACAGCCTTCTCAGTCCCACATCTCCTGCTGGGGTGGCCAGCTGGTCCCTCAGCTGCAGCCCCCTATGGTGTGCTCACCACCCATGGGATGTTTCCCAGAGCCCCCACCCACCCTCCTGCCTGCTGGCACTCCTGGGGTGCCGTGCTGCTGGCTCTGACACCTGCTACAGCCCAGGGTTCCTGCTGGCGGGCACGTGGCTTTCCTGCGGAGCTCCAGTGTGGGATCCGGGGTGCAGGTGTCTCGCTGAGAGGCAGAGGTACCCTTCACCCCACCGGTGAGCCTGCAGGCAGAGCCTCTTACCGACAGGTTAAGAGTTCTCCCACCTCAATGTAGCCAATGTTCCCTCCTGCCTTCCCTGGGGCAAGTCAGGCTGAACTGAAACGTGGCCTTCAGGTGCAGCGATGACATCAGGGCCGGGGTCAGCAACCTGCTCGTCTATGTGAAAAGCATGAAAGGCCTCGCGGGGATTCGTGACGCGGTGTGGGAGCTGCTCACGAGCGAGTCCATAAGCCAGAACTGGGAGGCAGTGTGCCGTCGCCTTTTGGACAAGCCTGCTTCCTTCTGGGAGGACCTGCTGCAGCAGCTGTTCCTGGACAGGCTGGAGGTGAGCACTCTGCCACAGCACGTCATGGGAAGCCTTGCGCTGTGCCCCCTCTTGTTTTCTTAAACACTCCACTGGTACCTGTTAGCAGCACTAGCTGTGTATTTGAAGTGCTAGGTGGCAGGAGGCACATGTAAAATATACTTTTTCTTTTTTCTTCTGCATCCTTTTCCAGACACTGACCAAAGAAGGGTTTGACTCCATCTCAAGCAGCTCCAAACAGCTTCTCACCTTAGCTCTGCAGGAACTTGAAGTCAAATCCAGCACCTCTGCCCTGAGCAAGCACGTCCAGTTTGAACACAACGTGGCCCTGTTCCTGTGGTCAGAGAGCTCCAGTGACCTGCCTTCCGACGCCGCTTGGGTGAACGTGGCCAACCGTGGCCAGTTCGCCAAGAGCGGCCTGTCCATGAAGGCCCAGGCACTCACGCCATGCGTGCAGAGTTTCTGCTCGGCTCTGGACTCAAAGCTGAAGGCCAGGTTGGACGATCTCCTGTCCTACCTTCCCACGGACTCCTCAGCCGCCAAGGAGGCCATTCTCGCAGTTCAGCCGCGCTCTGCCTTTGACCGCTACGCTGACGCCAGCACGGTGGAGGGGCTGCTCCGCGATCGCTGCGTTGCCTGCATCCACCACGTGCTGGGCTGTGTGCGCGAAGAGCTCCAGAGCGCCCAGAGCCTGCTGGGGGGGCAGGCAGATGCTCCCAGCGATGCCAGACTCAATGCTGTCCTCTTCATGGCGAGACTCTGCCAGTCCCTGACCGAGCTCTGCCCTCACCTGAAGCAGTGTATCCTGGGCCAGTCGGGCAGCACGGAGACGGCACTGAAGGAAACCCGTTCTGCCAAGAAACTGGGGAAGGGGAAAGCCCAGGAAGTGACCCCCGTGCAGGCCAAGTGGCAGGGGGTGAAGGCAGAGCTCTTGCAGCAGAGCCTGTTTGCTTACCAGATCTGGAGCTCAGCTGTGACCAAAGTAAGGAACTGTTTTCCCTTGTCACAGCTGCTTCCTGCTGCTTCCTGCATGGGTCTTGCTCGCTCACTCCCTGCGGTCAGTGCTGCTGCTCCTTAGCTGGCTGCCGAGAGCTCGCCGCGCTCCTGCCGCACTGTTCAGTCAGCCTGCAGGGAGAGGAGACGGCGGCAGCTCGGAGGTGGCATCTAGCGGGATGTTCTGCAGAAGATTCGCTTTGGGAGGAGGGGAGGGATGCAGGACGTCAGCCTCTGCACAGGCAGGAGCAGGCTGCTCGTCCTTTGGTACTCCCATTAGAGCCGTCTGTGACTGGGTGTTTCTGTGTTTGGTGCTCTAGGGTCTGGTTCAGTGCTTTACCCGCACGCTGCTGCTAGACACAGCTGGCTCTGTCTTGGCCACAGCCACCAACTGGGATGAAATCGAAATTCAGGAGGAAACAGAGTCTGGAAACAGTGTAACGTCCAAGATCCGGCTGCCTGTGCAGGTATGAGAAATGTCCTCTCGGTAAACACAGAGAAACGGTCTGCTGGGAGGAGAAAAGCGGTGGTTTCCAAAACCACTGCTTTGACAAGTACTGCTGACCTGCTGCAGAGTTTGCTTGGTGTTATGAGCGCAGGGCAAATGCTCTCCGGTGCTTTTATTTGTTCTTTGAGATACTAACCTCCTAAGGACAGAGGTCAGAGGAGGGAAATTAGATCATTGCTGCTGTATATTCAAATGAGTAAGATTGGCCCAGATCCTGTAAAACTGAGCCAAAGAAGGACTTATGCCCGGCCTCTACATGGAGGCCACCAGAAGAGAGATTTTGTGGAAATTGGATGCGCTGAAAGACAGGGCTGCAAGAGTGGGACTGTGCAAAGCTGAAGAGAACCGTGGCTGTCAGCTTTCCTTGGCCGTGGTGGTGGTCACGGTGACAAAGCAGGTGGTGGTGGCACGGAGGGAGAGGAGGGCCAGGGCAGGAATGAGCTTTGTGTTTGCAGGGCAGTAGTCTTTTGTAGTGACCCTTACAGGGTGAATTTTGTTGATTCTGAAGGAAAAAGCTGCTGGGTGAGAGCTCAGGATAGCTGGGAGGCCCAGGAGAAGAGCGAGGGAGTAAATAACGAGCCCAGGTAGCGGATGGTGAGAGCAGGGTCAATGGTGACAGAAGAGGCACAAAGAGCAATTCTGTTCCGACAACACTCAGGTGAATACCTCTGGTAAAGTACTTGTGGGGCTTTGAGGACTGCTATAACCAGAAGTCTGGTGTGTCAGTAAATAAAAACCCATGAGGTACTCGAGCCGTGCTGTGGGGGCATGTAGGTCGCAGCAGCAGAGAGCTTTGTGGTTGCCGAGGAAGTAGGAAGATGGCATCACAAGAACTGACGTTGTGCCACTGATACAGCTAACATGGCTTACAGAACACGTGAAAATAACACTGTTTTCTTCAACAGCCGTCCTGGTATGTCCAATGCCTCCTCTTCAGCCTGTGCCAAGAGGTGAACCGGGTCGGCGGTCACACTCTTCCGAAAGTCACCTTGCAGGAGTTGCTGAGGACCTGCATGGCAGAAGTGCTTGCTGCCTATGAAAAGCTCATGGAAGAGAAGCAGGAGAAGGTACGTGAGTAGGATCAGCCCTCGCTCCAGCTGGTGTGGGATGGGAGGGTCGCTGGGCATGTTTCTGTCCCTCGGAACAGAAAACCGCTGCCTGTGAGAGCTGGAAAGGGTGAGTGCGTTCTTCCCCTGCCTCCCCCAAAAATGAGGCAAAAAGGGATCAGACACCAGATCGCACGCTCAGAACGGTTCAGTTCGGTTGGTTGTTTCTTGGTGCTGGTGTTTGTAAACATTTCCCCTCAAGTGGTCCTTCAACAGCCCTGAGTGAAGAGCCCTGTTGTGACTGTCCTGTTTGCAGAAAGCAGGCACGTTCCCCATGACCCAGAACAGAGCTCTGCAGTTACTCTACGATCTGCGATACCTGAGTATCATCTTGACGGCGAAGAGCGAGGAAGCAAAGACCAGCAGGATCAAGCCTGACTCTGGGTACAGTGCAGTTCTGGGGTTCGGATACTAGCAGTAGTTTGTGGGGCCCTAAAATGGTTTAAAGTAACAGCCTGTGCGGCTGTCAGAGGATGCCCGCAGGAGCGGTGCCTTTGGGCCTCACGGGAGAAGGGCAATGCAGGCTCTAAGCTCTGACGTCTTCACTGACACTAAGCTCATCCTCAAAATATAGGAGGAGGGGTGGGATTCTGCAGCTGAGAGCTCAGAGACAGTGGGCTGGTCCCTGCCGCTTGCGTACACAGCATGCCTGCATGGCGGCGGCAGGGATACAGTCAGATGATGCCCCTGGAGAACAGTTAAGCTTCCACGCAAGAGTTAAAACCTTGTGTATGCTCCAGTCCTGAACTGAAGCATCTCTGAGATACAGCACAGGGAGAAGGTTCCTCTGCAACAGCAGATGTTGTAGGCTGTGTAATAGCTGGAAACCCTTCAGGCAGCTGCTGTTCTGCCAAGTAATTCCCACTTTGCTCAGTCACCTCCTCAGAGCAAGTCCCTCACTGTTGGAGGGATCGGTGAAACCGCGGATGTAACCCGACAGGACTCTGCTCTGCTTGTAGGGTTGAGAAGGTGACCGACTTCCTGGAGGGACACATAGATCCGTTTGACTTGGACGTTTTTACTCCACACTTGAACAGCAACCTCAATCGCCTGGTTCAGCGAACTTCCGTAAGTTCAAGGAAAAGGAAGGGATGGATCAGGAAGCATTGCTGCAAAACAGGCTTTGAAGGACAGCTGGGGTGGCTTTATGAACTTCTTAATGTCTAAAGATAACTACTGGCGCTTACTCAGAAATGGGAAGAGTATTTAACGCCAGCTGAAGATAAGAGGAGCTGGCTGCACGGCACATAATCCTGCACGAAGTTGGCTGAACTTTATCTACCAGGATTCACTGGAGCCTGTGCAATGCTAATTGGGTTTAGTGCTGAAACAGGCCTAGAACTCAACTATGGTAATAATGAGCAGTGACAATTAAAAGCAGAGTTGGAGGGTGAAGGGAGACACCTCAAACTTAAAAGCACCGTGTTTGGGGGTGGCTGGAGAGCTGACCACACAACACAAACAGTTCCTCCATACCTTCTAGGTTCTCTTTGGCTTGCTGACTGGGAGTGAGAACCAGTACACAAGCAGGAGCGGCACTCTGAGCTCCCAGGAGCTCCACAACATCTTGCCGTTAGCATCCAGCCAGATCAGGTACAGTACTCTGCTCTTCTGTACCGTCTGACATCTCTCTGGGAAGCAGGTTGAGCACTGCTGCTTCCCTGTGACTGGCCACATCTCTTTCTTCCGTCTCTTAAGGTTTGGACTTCTGCCGCTGAGTATGTCGAGCTCGCGAAAGAGCAAGTCTGCTTCCAGGAGCACAGAAGGAGTTCAGGTTGGTAAAACTGAGCCGCGTTAACTTTTTGCCAGTGCTCATTCTCCTACCAATGCTAGAGCTTGTGGGGAAAGAAGAAAGTAGCCAAACAGTTAATATTTAACCTGATTTTTATTTTCGGTAAAATAAGAGAACCATTACGGCAACACAGCATGAGATGGTTTGGATTTCCCCTTGACCCTCAAAAAACCCCTGATGGCCCCTGTTTTTTTGGGCCCGCTGCTCTGTGGTACAACATACACCATGAAAATGCAGTGAAGACTTAAACAGATGAGGCATTTTGAGATCAATGCATAAAAAAACCAGTTGATTTAAAGATGACTGCAAGAAATGTTGAAGGATACTAGTTAATTATTTGAACTCCTTTCCAGTGTGATGCTGACCTTTAACTCCTGACGACACCTGGCTTGGGTATTTAAGCCTGTGTGAACAGAGTGGCTTGCTTCTCTTGCAAAGGCTCTGTGTTGTCCTGTGTCTGAGTTTCATCTGTAGACAACCTATTGTTGCTACTTTTCCCCAGTTTAAAACATCTTACTTAGATGGAGCTCTCTATGCTGAGGATTGAGAGAGCCAAGGAATACCTCACCGCTACAGGAAGCAGTAATTCCTAATCTGTTTCCTGTAGCTGTTATTAACCCAATAATCCATCTGTGGTGATGCCCTTCCAACTGGGACAGAAGGGGAAAGGTCTGGTTTTATCAGAGTGTTACTCAAGATGCTGATGCTGCCTCTGCAAGTCTCATTCTCCATTGTTCAGAAGCATTAAGGACCAGACACAGCATAAAGGTTGTTGGAATATAAAGGTATTCTTTGCCTCTTACACCTCAGCTGGAGTTGAGTGTAGAAGTGTGCAGCAATGTTTGGCTGGCTCCTGCCGCTCCCCTCGCCTGCTGTGGTGGCACACGTATGTTCTGTGCTAGCCACACTTCTCGGACTCTCTGACAGATGCTTGCTGCTCCTTTTATGCTTAAACAGTTCAGGAGAGGTTAAAGTCTATAGTTACTCAAGAACAGCAACAGCTGTACTTCCACCGTGCTGTTATCCCCTTGCTCTGAGAGCAACAGTCCCTTCCCTGCAGTTCAGAATTATTTATTTTTTTTTTAGCATTGAATGGCAACTGAAAAGTTACCGGTTGCTATCAAGAGCAAGGTGCTGTGCTTCTGCCACTTGAAGTGCCTCTGTCTGCCTGTCACTAACCACCAGGAGTGACACTGCTTAGGTTGTGGTTCAGGCTCGCATTGCCTGGGAACAGCTAGCTGTTCTGTTGTAGTCTAGGCATCCTTGCTGCTACTAGAGGTGAGGGTATGGAGTAAGTCAAAGGTATGCTGTAATAGTTACTGATGCTTTTGTTTTTAAAAACAGGTTCCAGCTCCTGCACTCACAAGAGCAGAAGATGAGGCATCACGCCCTGGCTCGTTGTTCAGGCAGCTTGTGACCGAGGAGGAAGACACAACTGCACCTTCTCTCTTCAAGCTGGGATGGCTTTCTGGCATGACCAAGTGATGCAATAAAACATAAAGAGCTTGTCTGTGTATTCATCTTCACCTTCCCCTTGGCAGGGAGTGGTACTGTCAGAAGAGGAGTACTTGGCCAGATGTATGCCACTTTAACCTGGCACAGGTCAGGATTGTCCTTGCCATCTGCTTGCTGGACCGGATGTGTAGCTACTCTCACCTCCCAATTCCTTAGGAGTTGTTAACCTTAAAGTCAAAGTAAAGAACAAAAACAACAACCTACACACTGTAAGAGAAAACAAAACATTTCACAGCTAGAACTGGCTATCAGAGCAATGTCAGACTCCTCACTTTCAGAAGCCCTTCCCCAGGCTCCTCTATACTTGTCTCCATAGGTGCCACCACTCTGCTCTCTAAGTGACCCAGCAGGCACCTGCCATTTCAGCTACAGCTGCCTAAGCTTTCCTGGTTCTAATTTCACATTTCTTTTTTTTTCTCAGTACTGCAGCAGTAAAGATCAAGCAAGATAAGGTTCATCATACACCAAGCTGGGTGGAAAGTTGACAGCTGGGACAGTCCTAAGGGTGCCAGTACCTATTCTTACTGTCTCCTTAACCCTAAATGCTCAAAAAAATGTTACCAAATACATTTTTTACTAGTTTATTGAAATTAAAAAAGACTTATAAAACTGAAGATGAACGTTTGAGAGAACTTTACATAAAGCAACAAATTGCTAACAAACAGATTAGGCAGTTGATTGGAATTGGACATTTTGCAATCCTATAACACAGATGTGGATTCCTCAATCTCCTCTTGACACGCACTTTATAACCACCCCAAAAAGAATCCTATAAAAATTGCTTCAAAGCCCCTTTTGCATTGCAATAGTGCAGCAAACCACAAGTAAACAATTTCCTGTTAACCTGTTATTTCAAATATAGACTGAAAAGGCAACAGGCATTTTGTGCAATTCCATTTTAACAAACTTTTAAGTTGAAATATCAAATCTACACAGTGCTGTCCCTTCACAGAAGGCAGGGAACTGCTGGTTCATCATGTAGGAAGGCGTCCCCGGCTCTGTAAGCTGTGAAAGTGTGCCTCCTTCAGGATCTGGTTGATGTGGAAGTAAGGACCTTGGCTTAGTGCAGACTGCTCATGGAAGGGCTGAGAGGAGACAGGACTGGATCCTGCAATTACCGGGTTTAGGCTGGTTTCTGCACCGCATGCTCTGTCAGGGCTGTTGATGCTACTGCTACTACAGCTGCTGCTGCTGCTGCCGCTATCGCTGCTGGAGGACTGAGACAAAGAGAAGGTTAACAGCAAAATCACACAGTTTTCTCTCCTGTCCATACTGAAACACCTCAGGTAAACAATCAATCTTATTAAGTCCCTCCCTTCCAAATTTTCAGGCTCATGTTCCGCCTGATGGACTAACATAAATCCACCAAGTGCTTTCTTGGCATTCATAGCTGCCATTGTTGCCAATGTACGAAAAGCGTCACAGAGCTGAAGGGATGAGCAAGCCTTCACCCAGAGGTTCGCTGACCTCCAGTACATTGGATTTCAATCTTTCGGTTTTAGGCCCAACCAGCTCTGCTGCCCCCGTGACCCATGTTAGCACTAGTGAAGTTTGCTGAATTCATCTGAGAATTGGAAAATAAAGAACACTACTACTGAACTGCACGTGTCAGTAAAGGCAGGCAGGGCATGAGGAAAAGTTTATCACTTCTGTTCTAGCAGACATTTTAGGTAAGCACCATGCAAAGCATTTTCCTACAAGTCAATCTTTCTAAAATGAGATCTGAAGCATCCAAAGCAACAGGCTGTTAAAAAGAAATGCAACACGATACCCATTTTAAGTCTTTGAACACTTTGACATACATACAACTACTTTTCTCCCAGTTAAGTACTGGCAGAGCAATGTTAACTAGTAGTTTTCCATAACAATTTACTTGAGACAACAGTGAAAGACCAACAGGCATCGATGATTTCCACATGCAGAAAAGAGAACTCATGATTTAGGTTGCATAGAGGACAGGGCTCATTTGCCAGCATTTAGGATAAACACATTTCATGGTAATGACTGGAAGAGCATTAGCCATCATTGTCAGTGCTTCAAAGACATAAAACTGTTTGGTTTACACCATTTTAAGGGCTGCTAATGAAAGGTTCCATTAGTTACAGCTGAAATATTTCATAGTGTGTGATATGCAGACAACACTGCAAATATTTAGGTGCTTAAGAATCAGAGAATGGCTGCTTTGCCATCCCGCAAGAAGTAAATTCATAAAAGCAGCAAGCGTAAGTGGCAGCTGCTAAAAAAACAAACCCACAAAAAACCAACCCACATTTTTTTAAAGTATTAAACTAAAACCACAGAAGTCAAAGCTTGGTGGTCACGGCAGAGGAAGACAAATTTAAGGAAGTGCACAGTAATTTAATACTCAGCACCACATCCAGAAGGCCTCACTTTGGAGTAAATCTGAATAATGGTGCAAATTGCACCTGACATCTGTCAACAAGCAGTGAGAAAGGCCCAGGAAGGCACTGTATGAACACTTGAGGTGGACCACATCTCAATGCTGACTGGAAACCCCACGGCACTTATTCCACAATCAATTGCAACAATTCAACCATATAAATCTCCTTGTTTTGCTAAGCACCAAAAATGCTTCAGTTCTGTTATAGTACAGCAAGCAAGACAATGGCACCGAGGCTGCACCCGCGCTGGCGTGTTAGGTTCAGCTAGCAAGGAGAAAACACCACCACACATGTGAAGTCATTCTTGAGGAAGCAGCAGATGTAACTACACGAGCAACCAGCTCCTCTTCCTAATACTGCTAACACTAGAGAGGGAGAACACCAGGAAAACAGAGAGGAGCCACGAAATGGTGCTTGCTACACCATCTCATTTTGCATAGAAGCACAAATACTGAAATGCAATGCTGTTATGCTGAACAAGTCACAGCAGCCTTGGAGAGAAACCCACCGCACAGGACACTTTGTTTCCTTTTAGTCTGTGTTCCTTACTGTTTTTCGTTACAGCCACCTTCTGAAAATCAAGGTAAAAATTGAAATGAGAACCTAGTATTACTTACTGCTAAAGTTTCACATCTTAACAAACATTTTAGAGCTGTTAGTAGTGATTATTTTACACATGTCTGATTTTTTTTTTAAAAAACCAAGATAGTGTCCTGGGACGTGCTTCCTACATCTAAGGCTGTTGACAGATCTGGTTTGTCATACCCTCTTTATTTCCATTTCTCTAATGCAAAAATTCACTAGCATGTGAAGCCCGTTTATTGCCCAAATCACATCAAAGACCTACCATTTCCCCAGGCTGTGGTGCACATTCTGTTACGCATTTGGACTACAATTAGACAAAAAAAGAATCCTTAAAGTCATCATGTCAGCAATGACAGGCATCTACACAATGAAACAAAGCTCTAAGCGTAAGGGCAAAGGAAAGTAGCCCAATGAAAGTTTATGAGTACTTTAAGTACCAAAAGGGCATCTTCAAGGTTTACTTGACTCATTAGTCCTTCTTAACATCACACTGAGTAGCTAGAGAGGCTTTAAATAATTTCCAAATAAACATCCTGTTAAATATATAGCCTGTTGATCTGTGATGTAGCATCTCAATCACTCATGACAGGAACTTAACAAATCACCACTCAGACTCTGCTTCTCTCAAAATCTTTCAAGTTTAACAGTTTTAGTTAGAATTTAAGACCAGCCCTTCCTCAATAGTGTAACACTGTAGAATGGAATACGTGCAATGCTAGATGAAAACTTTGATGTGAGAGAAGCAACTGCTGTCGTGCGTCAGCAATCTCCACTGATAAAACAGTGCTATTGCTGAGCTCTGGGGAATCCTGTCATCGGTCAGAACAACAAAGAGGAACCACGAGAAATTAGGGTTTACAGAAGTTATTCAGGAAGGAAAAGAGTTAGCCAGAATACTGCAGACTCCCTCCCTTCCCAGGGAAAATCAGAGCAAAGGGCTTTTCATCAGTGATTCGCAGGTCGCAGAGCACAATTGCAGATTCTCCTAATTCCTGTGAGTGACCGTTTACAGCCAGCCTCTCAGAGGATCCACTACAACTCTGCCTGACCTGACGTACGGGCCGGCCACAACAGGAGAGTAGGAAGGGCTTTGGCTTAATTTATAAGCAAGTACCAGGGAAAACAACACAGCTAACCTGTTGGTAAATGGAGGACAGGCTGAACAGGAAGTTAAATGCAGTGGCAAATGCTCTGCCTCGCTAATGTTTAACCTCCCTGAAGTTCTAGCCTAGCCTTTTCATCATGTGCCAGTTCATGGACTGAACTGCAAAGCAGAAGTTTACCGTCATCCTGAGAGTGGCTGTCACCTAGGAGTGTGGGAGCGGTTTGTTCCACGAAGAGCAGGGATTGCACATTGTTATAGCAATTTGCCAAGAAGCAATGCTGACAGAGATTGAAGAGAATCTCAGTTTCCCTCCTGTAAAATTCAGAGTCAAGGATGCTGTCTACCCTGGATGAAAGAGCAAACTAGTGGGAGAAAACAGCGATATCCTTTTGCATCAAATCTAGCTCACATGAGCAGTTTGATTCAAAATGAGGGACTGAGGGATAACATTGCAGAACAGCCCATGTTTGAACTGCCACTAAGAAAAAAAAAATCTCCCTTTATCTTACAGATATTGCTGTCAGCTATGAAGAGTAAGACACAAAACCATGGAAAGAGGTCCTGACAAAAGCCAAGCTCAGGTTGAGTAATTTAGGTCATGTTCAAGTAAACCACACTCCGTAAGAGTAAACAGCCAACTTTCAACTGAAAGAAGGCAAAAGGAGTCAGTACTTTAGCTAATGTTTCACAAAAAGCAGGTGCGCATATGCCCTCAGATGAAAAGCAATTCTCTCCTCACGTACTCTTTGAGGTTACAAATTGCTCTCGCATCTTCTCTCCTAGTTCAATATCCTAAGCTAGTGAAGATTTGTAATCAGCAATTTGTAAATCACTCTTGCAAATGGCCAAGTATCAGGAAACTAAATAAAAGTATTACAAAGGGCCAAGAATTTCAAAGTGACATCAA